TCGTCGTCGGTCGCCAGAGAGGAGAGTGTAAGAGGAGAGGAACGTGCTAGGGCAACAGAAGAGGATTTATATAATGGCAATTCTGTAATTTTTGAAGTTTTGGATGAGCATTTAAGTCATTTCAGCCCCTCCAAACCAGTTGCGCGCATAAGTTGTTTCAAATAAGCACCCCATGAGCTGCTTTGGCCCCCAAAGCTGAAAATAGCTTTAAACAAGCTATAATCTGATAATTTAAGTTGCACCAAACACATTTTATAGTTTAAATTAAGTTAAAAACTGAAATAGGCCGCTTATACAGATTATAGCTTAACAGATTATAAATTATAACTTTAATAAGAAACTGTTAATCTGTTTGGTGTACCTGTTGGATTTTAGATTTAAATTGCTGAGTAGTATTTGTTAAATAAGTTATGAAGTAACTTTTCAATTAACTTTTATTTTTTGTTATTCACTACTTGTCTACACTTCTTATAAAAAATAATAATGATAATCTATAGTCCATTTTAGTCTTTTTCTATTTTTAAAAAAATAAAAAAAAATAAAAAAATCTAAGAGTATAACCGTAAATTAATATGTCCACAGCAGAAGCTGATAATCAGAAATAAGAGATGAATAATTTCTCAGAATCAACTTTTTTTGAGTTAAAATAAAATATTAAAATTAGAAACTATTTCAAACAAGTTTAACCAAACAATTCAAAATAGCTTTTTAAAAGTTAAAAGTTATAAGTTGATTCAAAAAAATCCAAACAAGCACCCCTATTATAATATCAGTAAGTCTTGGTTTTGGAATATTCAATTAACCATTAGATTTAACTCAAATATAAAAGAAAAGACCCATTTATATAAAAGAAAAGACCCATCACTAAAATAAATGTGGCCTCCACTCACATTTCACAATAGAAATCTTTAAAATCTAATGAGAGGAATATAATTTTAAAAAATAAAAAAATTAATTAAAAATTTTAAAATATTTACAAAAAATAAAAAAAAAAATTAATTTTTAATAAATTAAATTCAAAAAATTAAAACTAAACATACTTAGGTATCATTTGGGAAGATAGGTTTGGGATTTTTTTGATTAAAATAGTCACAAAAAAATAAAATAAGCTTATTAGCCCTTCATTGTTTGAAAACGTGATTTATCACATGTCTTGAATTGAATCATATACTATGCTCATAGCCGAGCCTCTAAAATTGCATAAATGTGTGTATTGAATTAGTCACATTACATTGTTTAGGAACATGTATATTTTTTAATTATTTAGCTTTGTTTAGCTTGCCTTGGAATACTAGATGAGCGTTTATTGCCTTAGCATCTTGCATTGCATGTGATTATTGCTATGTCGAGCATGCTTTCCATGAGGTTAATTGCTTAAGTGATATAACTCTTTAAATATCTGTAGATGAAAGCCGATTGCTTAAGTTTGGATAAATTGATTAATGTACGTATAAACTCACATTTTTAAGTGACGAGTATCAAAAACAATTTTCAAACAAACACAAAATCAAATGTTTCAGTCTTTGCAAATTATTTTATACTTATGTGCGTCACATAGTTAGATAGCTTAATAAATCGAAACAAGAGCATATAATGTAAATAAGAATCACATCATGATTAGTGGAGGCCGATTTTCGATCGGGCGAGTGAGGTGCTCAATTCATGACCTTTCCCTCTAGTACCTAAGTTCTCAAGTCGAGACAATCTTGGTGATCACGGATAAGTAGCCTTTGGCACGAGTCTCGGGTTTCCTAAATTTCTCAAAAATATTTAAGTGGCGACTCTTTTAGAGTTAGATTTAAAAACTAAAAAATATAGATGAATAATATGTTTATTTTTTTCAATTCAAAAATATATTCAAGTTGAAAACTTTTTTTCAACAGAATATTTAAACTCTTTTTCAATTGAAAACACAAACATAATATTTAAACAAATTGAAAATACAAAGTCTTATAAATTACTACAAGTGCTCGCGATTTGGCGGTTTGGCGGTTCGGTTGCGGCCAAAAAATCTCAAATCCGCCATCCGTCCGCCAAATTGGCGGATTGGAGAAAATCAATCCGCAACCGTCCGCTCATCATCACGCATCCGTCCAAAATGCGGCGGATCGGATCGGTTCGGTCGGTTTTGGCGGATCGGTATATCCGCTGCTCACCCCTACTTTTTTGTGTTTTCACTGTTTCACATTGCACTTGTGAAATTATATTCAAAACCACAGGAGTCCAATTTGTGGGCCTAATCGTATCCGAAAGAAACCAGAAAAGCAAGCCACAGTTTCTGGCGACTCTGCTGGGGATTTAGAGAACTTGACTAGAAATTTATGATATGAAATTTTATCTACCAATATATGTTCTTTGCATTGCATTTGCATTGTTACTTTAAACTGTGTTTTTCATTTGCTATTCCTGGACGGTTTGCAGAAGGTTTGCCCAAAAGCTTGCCAAAAGGCTGACCGGTCATATGCTCTGCTATGTTGGAAACATAACCCTTAGGTCTGGATTACTGTTATACCGTTCGATCCTCCTTTCACTTCTCAGTGTTAGGTGTGAGAGGTATATTAGGTAATCTTGCTGAAGTACCCCTTTTGACCAATCGGCCTAATTGTATATAGTCAGCCTTCGTGACTTTTCGAATATAGGACATGATGTCCTCCTATTTACTAGGCTATTGTGATACCGAATATCACATCCAACTCATAATCATTATATTCTTTCTCTTACAAAAATAAAAAAAGTTAAAAAAACTTATTCTAAACAAGACTTTTTTAACCCCAAATTAAAGTAATCAAAAAATTAAAGGCCTAAAAAACTAAGTGCTCGTTTGGTTATCATCCTAGGCTAAAAAAAGGGTTGTTTAGAGTATCTTAAATAAGTGCACTTTTTAACTTTTTGGACTAAAAAGTTGAGGAAAAAAATATAGTTGTTTGGGATAACTTTTTGACTTTTTACGAAAAAATGTGTATTAAAAAATTATATAAATTAGTGTATAAGAGAAGATTGTGATGGAATACGCTGTACGGTGAGGGACATCGTGTGCAGAGTAGGAGGGAGATGGTTCCCTACTTTTCGGGCAGTGAATTGAAGGTGTGTTCAGCCCGTGGGGGCCTACCACGGGTCCCGTTTTGCTAATCAAAACCGTTGGATGTGTAAAACTCGTCCAGTACTGCATGCTTGTAAAAAATCACGTTAATCGAATATCGATAGCTATCTGATCGGATTAGTTTTTTTTTCAACCGTTAACTATAACACCATCCATTTTATAAATTTTAACTGATTTGATCATATAATTACCGATATCTTATCAACGTGATTTTTTACGGGCATATAGTACTCGACGAGTTCTACACATTAAACAGTCCAGATTATTAAAACGAGACCCATGATGGCCCTCACGGGCCGAACAACATAGTATTATTTGTGCACCTAAATTAGTGTAATTTTTCCAAAAACTCAGCTGCGTCGACGTCAGAGCTGTTTGAAAATTAATTTTGTGTAAAATTAATTTTTTAATAATTTTTTTTATGAATAGTGATAATTTTTTGACTTTTTAAATAACTTTTTAACTTTTTTTAATTATTCCAAATTAGGCCAAAATCACAAAAGGACAAAAACAATTTAAAAATCATAAAAGGATAAAAAAAAATTATCATTCCAAAATTAAAAAATCAAAAAATCTAAATAAGAAAATCCAACAACTAAAAAAATTTCAAATTAAAATAATTAAAAATATCTAAAATACTAATTAAAAAAATTATCGCCAAACCACCCCAACTCTCTACCCAACAAACCCTTTATACATTTCCGAAAACCACACCACCGAGTGTCAAATCCAAACACGCTGCGTGTAAGGAAAGCCGATTTCCACACTGCCGCCACCCCCGATGATTCCCATTTAGATATTAAATTTTGCATTATTGTACCTTTTTCTTTTCTTTATTCATGCATTATTGTACATTAGCTGCGGAAGTGGTTGCTTAATTACCTAATCCACTACATTTTGCCTTCGGAAAATGAGTTTATTTTTTGATTTTCTGATTTTTTTTAATTATTTTATTCTAAGGTTAAAAAATTTTAATTAGGAAGAAATTTTAATTTTTTTGTAAAAAAAATATAATGATTATGAATTGAATGTGATATTTTATCTTATTGAATTAAAAAATTTATTTTATTTTTTATGACTATTTTAATCTAAAAAATCTCAAAATTAACTTGCCAAACCGAAGCTTTGTGATTGGCGAGTTAAAATATACAATAAGTTTATTTATTTTCTTGACACGTGGACCAAATCCTAAAATAGTGAGAATAGTATAGTTTATTTGATTTCATAAATTTTATAGTGATTTGACTTACAATTCTATATTTGACAAATTTTATTGATTAAATAACATGAACAGTTGATATTGAATTGGATGAAATTAATAAATTTTAAATATTGAGGGCGGAAGACTATAATTTCAAGTATAAAAGAGAGAAAAATAAATAAATACTTAATAAATAATTATTTTACTAATTTAATTATATAATTAATCATATATTAAGGCTTGTTTTAACAAGTTGGTAAAAAGTTCATTTTTGACTTTTTTTTAATCAAAAAAATTAATTTTTTTACCCAAGTCATTATCTAAAAAGTTAGTTTTTTTATTAAAAAATTTAAAAATTAACTTTTTACTAACTTCTCAAATATCACGGTAAAACTCTCATAATGTGAAATGTGATAAAAAATTTGGGGTCTTTAAAAAATTCAACACTTCTTATTTAATGTGATAAAGTTGAATAAACTTTATTCACAATAATATATGTGTGGGTGATTTTCCGACCACACTGCCCGCTTAGTAACCAGCTGAAGAGCACTGGCAGAATAGATGGCACCTGACTGACCTACAACAGAAATATAAGAATCCCGCGGTGGTTTCGACCACCCGGGGGCAATCCGACGATCAAGTCAGGGTATAATAGCTACAAAACTTTTACTTCGGCAAGATACTGACCTGTAACCTTAAAAACAAACCACTAACCACTACCCAATCAAAACCGTGGTGGTTTTAGTACAAGAAAACCGCTCATTCGATCACATGCTAGGCTGGATGAAATCCCTCAACCCGGAAATCAACGGCGTAACCGGATCCGAATCAAACCCTCTCTCCACATCCAACCCAAACTCAAACCGGATCCACTTCGGCGACCGGTCAGGCCACGTCGAACCGGACCCGGGTCACTCCTTCGCCGCCATATTCGAACAAGTCTACGGCCAACCATGGACCGCCACCTCATCATCATCATGGGCACAGAATCTTGAACCGGCAATGGAAGGGTTTGCAGAGCAAGCCGAGAGTGTGGAAAAAGGTATGTCTGAGGTGGTGATGAACGGGTTCAGACCGGAGTTAGTGCCGGTTTATAAGGAGTTGGTGATGGAGTTTGCGGTCTGTGATCGGTGGTTCGCGTCGATACCGACTTTGACGCAGCCGAACCGGCTGTATGTGCACTCAGCGACGTCGTATGGTGCGACTGAGAATGATAATAAAATGATGGTGGAAGGGTATCCGCAGAAGACTATATTTGAGTCAATGGAGGAAGGTGGGTTTTCTTTTGGGATTTATTATCAGTACCCTCCTTCCACACTTTTCTACAGGTAACTAACTATTCTTTTCTTTTCTTCGTTGTCTTTCATTTTCTTTTCTTTTTTTTTCAGCCTGGGATGTAAGTTAATTTATTATTATTTATTTATTTATGACTATTTTAACTTGAAGTTAACTTTTTCTTTTCTTTTTTTCAGCCTTCGTGATTTTTTTTTTTATTTCCTTCGTGAAGTTTTTTTGATTTTTATAAAAAAAAAAATGAAATAATTATGATTTGAGACCTAATTTGACATATTAGAAAAAATCTTAAAAGTCAAAAAATTATAAAAAAGTTAAAAAATTGGAGTATCATTATTTACAAATTAAAAATATAAATAAATTAATTTACATAATATTTTAATACAATCCAGCAAATCGACAGTGTTAGTATTGAATTGAAGGTTCGTAAGTACGGCGTTGGTCCGTCAAAGAAAAAAAAAAAAACAAAAATTAGATATATATATTTATTAAATTAGAGGGTAATGTTGGGCCTGTGAAGGTCCATCACGGGTCTCGTTTTGATAATTCGAACCGTTCAATGTGTAGAACTCATCGAGTATTATACTCTTATAAAAAATCACGTTAATCGGATATGGATAGCTATGTAATCATATCCGATTTTTTTTCAGCCGTTTATTTTTCACCATCGATTAATTTTATACAAAACTGTTTTGATCACATAGTTATCGATATCTGATTAAAGTGATTTTTCAGAGGCATATAGTACTCAACGAGTTCTACACATTCAACAGTTTGGATTATCGAAATGGGATCCGTGGTAAACCCCCACGGCCCAATAGTACCTGTGAAGTCTCGTGCACCATTTCAACCAAGCCGTATTATCCTCGTGTGGCCTTTCACTGATGAGTCTGTTACGTAGGGATAAAAACGTAATTTTATTATTTTATATAATATTTTAATATACATTTTTCGTAAAAAGACAAAAAAAAATTTGAAACAATTTTTTTTTTCTCAATTTTTTAGTTTAAAAAGTCAAAAAGTACAATTATTTTAGAGATCCCAAACCATCCCTAAATGTCACATTTTATCTTATTATTAAAAAAATTATTTTATATTTTTATAACTAAAATAATCAAAATCTAACCCAAACTTTCATGCTATACTTAGAAATGTTTTGAGAAAATAATTAAAAATTATATTTTAACTTTTTTTAATTTTTTTTAGAGAAAAAAATGTTTTGAGAAAATAATTAAAAATTATATTTTAACTTTTTTAATTTTTTTTAAAGAAAAAAATAAATTAAAATTGTGAAATGACTTTTAACCTTTCCTTAAAATAGTTGATAACTTGAGTCAAGTCTCCCTTTGTGGAGTCGTTTTCTAGGCGCGTGAATTTGTTAATGGCTTTCGTTTATGCCGTGTGGCCAAATTTAAATGGATGATTTTCGATAATGATAGATGGTCTTTTTTTTTTTTTTTTTTGGGGAGAGCATATGTGAGTCCATTTTTCTTGTCTAATTTTGTAATTGAATTATGTGAATTTTAAAAAATTATTTTAATAAAGTATAAATAAAAAAAATTGTATATAAAATCAATTTAATAATATGATAATTTATCATTTTTAAGGAAAAAAACGGACCAAATAATCTTATAATTTTAGAAATGTAAATTTTTATATAAACATAATTTTTTATTATTATCGTTGGATTTTATTATTATTTATTTATCCTTTGAGCCTGGCTTATCGTGGAACATTTTGTTATGAGATCGGTTGGGTGGGAGAGAATATGGGTTTGAGTTGAATAACAATACCATAATGCATTTATTCATTTGTCGATCAATACCAATTTCATTAAGTTGTATTTTATTGAAAGATTTGATGAGAAAAATCGAAAGAAAAAGAAAAAATATAATGAAAATGAAAAAGAATTATAAGAATTCAAATTTTAATTTATATTTGTTTGAGTTGGAAAATGGAGCAAGAAAATATACTAAATCTAAAAGATAAAAAGTGAAATTGTGTTTCCCAAATTTTTTTTTTCCTTATATTATTTATTGTCAATCAATACCAATTTCATTAAGTTGTATTTTATTGAAAGATTTGATGAGAAAAATAGAAAGAAAATGAGAAATATAATGAAAATGAAAAAGAATTAATAGAATTCGAATTTTAATTTATATTTGTTTGAGTTGGAAAGTGGAGAAAGAAAATATACTAAATCTAAAAGATAAAAAGTGAAATTGTGTTTCCCAAATTTTTTTTTTCCTTATATTATTTATTATAATTAAACAAAAAAATAGGATTACATTTTCTTTTCTTTTTCCTTTTCTTTTACTTTTTCTATTTCTCTCATAAAAAACTTCTCTAACCAAATAAAGTCTAATTTTATATTTTTTTTTGGCATACCAAAAGTTTTGGTTGAAACTCAATTTTGTTGAGGTATGGTAATGTAATGTAACCCATGAATTAGTTGATCTGCACAAAATTATACAATAATTTCAAAATATTATGTGAACATACTTTTTTTTATCTATTATTATTTATTTTATTCTTTTATATATCTCAATTATAAGGGACAAATATGTCATTTTAATCTGATAAGGAGGTAAATGTAATTTTTTAAATGTGAAGAGAGAATTTATATTAAATAAAAATCTCAAGAAATATAAATGTAATTTACTTCAAAATAAAAGCACTAGGAGAGAAATTCTTGAATCCAAAAGAGTGAATATGTGGCATCTCCTATTTACCTTTTTAAATTCTTTCTTTCCTCCATAGAAAGAGATTGAACCTCCTGGTCCTAGTCTTAATTTTAAAATTTTGATTTGAAAAGGACTCCTAAAGTTTAAAATTAAAAAAAAAAAAAACAATTGTAACTTGTTAACGTGTATTTAATGTTATAGTAACTTTTTAGGCCCCCGTTTGTTTGGGTTATAAGAAAGGGATTGAGACTACTAATATCTTGGTATTACTAATACTCTTGGAAGGGGGATTCATAGTGAGGATGTAGAGATGGTATTAGAAAAATAGTGAGGGGATTAGAAATTTTTTTATTTTTTTATTTTTTATATATTGAGATTTTTTTTTTAAATATTAATGTTTAATTTTTATATTTTTTTATTTGTTTTATTATTTTATATAAAAATAATTTAATAATTTCTCACTATTAATCTCATCACTAACAATTCTTTCATTATTAATCCCTTCAATATCAATTCTCTCCATTCTACCTCTGAAAATAAACGAAATTATGTACATTGTTGCATTTTAAAAAAGAGCATTTGCAACACCAACATGTTGGTCCCAGTTAACACAATTCCATGCCAATTATTTACTTCTATATTTTTGTTGAAAAAAGACTTTTATAGTGGAGTGCATTGAGATCATGCTGATTATAGTGATTGTGACATGATCAAGATTTAATTTCAAATATTTGGTTGAATTACCGACACATCTTGCTAAATATAATATCTGGCTACTTTACGTAATGAGAGACACACGAGGTCTAAATTCTAAAAGAACAACATTAGGGATATAAAAAAAATTACTAAATATTTTTATGGGCGTAGAACTTACATCCATGTGGTACTCACACTCATGTAAGTATTTGGTAAATTTTTTTGAGAGATAGGGAGCAATGACTGTTGTGCCTCAATTTGAGGAGTATTATAAGTTTATTTTTATGATCCGAACCGTTAATTTTGTATGGTTTGTTGAGTACTTCATGCCTACCAAAAATCATATTAATTAGATGTCAATAACTATATGATTGAATTGCATATTTTTTATACTATTTCTCAAAAAAAACTTATTGATAATTTTTTTTGGTTATCGATTATATAGTTATTGATATCCGATTAATATGATTTTTGGTAGGTATGAAGTCCTCAACAAATCTTACAAAATGAACGGTTCGGATCATAAAAATAAGCCCATAATACACCTCAAATTGAGTGCCTTTAGCACACAGTAATTCCATTTCCATTTTTTGGGGGATATCTAAGATCTTGAAAATAGTAGGTTTTTTTTTTTTTTTCACTTTTATTTTAAAAAATTTGTTGTGAGATAGTTTTATTTGCACACCACCATTTCTTTCAGTTGACCATTTGTCAATTTTATTTATTTTTTTTTTTCACTTTTATCTTAACAATTTTGTTTTGAGTTAGTTTTATTTGCACACTACCATTTCTTTCAGTGGACCATTTGTCAATTTTATTTATTTATTTATTTTTTTTCCAATTGTATCCCAAAATCAAATTGTCATTTTGAACAAAACCCTAAAATATATTCTCCAGTTCACGACACCATCCACCACCATCACCACCAGAGATGGAATTAGGAGAAGATTATGGGGGCAATGGCCCCCTTGTTTCTGTGAAAAATACTGTTTGTCATAACACTTTAAAAATATATATATCATTTTATACATAAAATGGCCCCCTAGTATAAGAAAATGCATATCTTATTATTCTCCTATCTTGCCTTCTTTTTCTATTTTGCACTAAAAAAAATTTCTTCGTCCTATTAGAAATTGCTTCTATGGTATTTAATTTTTTTTTCTATGTATATATAATTTATATATCATATTGTGCATATATGCGTGTTTGTGTATTAGGTGATTTTTTTTTTTTTCAGCCCCTCCAATAATAAAATTCTGGTTTCATCCCTGATCACCACCGACCACTGACATGGCTTGAAAGGTGTGACAGTGGAGAAAGAGGCTTGGATTTGAGATTAGGGAATAGGTTTTTTTGGTATTATTTGAAAATTAAGAGTGTCAAATGAGAAAAAATCAAAAACTTCAAATTATGTGTACAAGGCTTCGTTCAGGAAGTGGGTTGACTTTTTAGTTTTTTAGATTATTTTAACCTGGGGTTAAAAAGTCTGGTTTGGGAAGAACTTTTGGTTTTTAATTTTTTTATGAGAGAAAGAATGTAATGATTATAGGTTGGATATGATGTTTTGTCATATTAGGCTAAAAAGCATATTTTATTTTTTGTGATTATTTTAGCCAAAAAAACCCCAAAATCCACTTTCCAAACATAGGCTAAATATAATAACCCTTGTGTCTAACAATAAAATATTGTAGAGTTAAAGTAGCATTATTTGGTTCCAACAAGAAGTAGAAAAAAAAGAAATGAAGTAAAAACCACTAAACTCTTGGTTAAATTACAATTTTCACAATTTTCATTAAAATTTGAAATAATTATCAATATATCCTATTTTGCTTTCAAGATTACTATTAATGCTCCTATCAAGTTCAGTTATTTTTTTTTTGTTTTTTATTTTATTTTATTTATTTATTTTTGTTTGTGTGGACAACTAAGTCCTGATGTTTTATAAAACATTCTCAAAATGTTCAATTCTCTATAATCGTAAATTTTTTCCCAACTTTACCTTTCTTATTTACTATGAACAATAATTTCATAAACAAATTTAATTTACTTAAAATTCTATTTTTAATTGTACACATTATGAATATTATATTAAACAAAGTCATAAAAAAAATAGTTTGAAAGAATTATGGCATAAAATTTATTATTTTTTGTTGTTTGAAGTTATGATTTTTTTTTTATATAAATGATAAACTATCCAAAAAGGCAAAATTTTATTAAAATTTCATCATTAAAATGATGGAAAATAATATCGTAGTGAATTCATATATTTTTCAATAAATGAGGTTAATTGAATTTTTTTTTTTTTTTAAACTTCAACCACCAAAAATATTTTTACTATAATTATAAAAATTTAAATGAATTAAAATTATTTACGGAATTTTTGCTTCATGTTTTAATGAGAAAGGTAAAATTGGAATAAAATATGCTATTATGGGTAATTGAATTTTTTTGAGAATAATTTGTAAAAAATAAGACTTAATTGTCTATATTAAAACTTAATAGGACTCAATGATAATCTCTAAAAAATTTACTTTGGTCCATTAATTCCTAATTGCAATAATTAGATCATCACATTTCAACTCATATTTCAGCATTAAAAAAAAATAAAAAATAAAAAAATTCAATAGAAATTTGCACATGAACACCATATGATATGAGTAAGTTTGAAGAGCATTAAAAGGCAAAATATACTATTCACCCTTCAACTTTTATTCAAATTTAAGTCCTCGTACTTTTATTCAAATTTAATTAAGAGCATTATAACACACTACTCTGTGAGGTAAGGTATACACTGACATGATATTTCTGCTAAAATAAAAGCATGGAAGATGCTAAATTGCTAGTAATATCCATTTCAATCTAAAGAATATCACAGCTTGAGAATCAATGTTTGAAAAACATTTGATTATATTTTGTTCTTTAATTCTATCTGTATTCTAATGATCATAACTTTTGATGTTCATAGGAGCCTTAGAAAACTGAAATACATAGACAATTTTCACCAGTTTGATTTAGATTTCAAGCGACACTGCAAGGAAGGGAAACTACCAAACTACGTTGTCGTCGAACAAAGGTATTTCGAGACAAAACTTGTTCCTGGGAATGATGATCATCCGCCACACAATATCTCTGAAGGCCAAAAATTTGTGAAGGAAGTCTATGAAGCATTGAGGTCGAGTCCTCAGTGGAATGAAATCTTGTTCGTAATCATATATGACGAGCATGGTGGTTTTTATGATCATGTCCCAACGCCTATCACCGGGGTCCCTAGCCCTGATGACATCGTGGGTCCTGCGCCGTATAATTTCCAGTTTGACCGGCTTGGTGTTAGGGTTCCAGCTATCTTGATTTCTCCATGGATTGAACGTGGAACTGGTAAATTTCACACTTTTCTTATTTATGTTGATCAATGTTGTTTTTCAATGAAATGGTATGTCCATACATTAGTATGGATTTAATTGACATCACTAGATTTTGAGAAAATAATAATAAAAATTATTTATTTGCTACAAAATTAAACCTACTTATAAAAATTGAACTTATTGTAATTAGCTTGGAATATTTCATTATTCAAAAAATCTATCATCTCTGTGTCTGTCCAAACGCTATTACAATCAGTAGTTGGGTAGCTTTAATGAATATCTAAGAATATTAATTTTCTTGAATCAACTTCAGAACTACATTATTGATATGCGAATGGCGTGTTTTTAGAACTAAAGGGGATTTGGTGATCTTAGTAAAAAAATTGGTAGAGACAAAGAGAGATATCATCTATTCATCAGTCTATTTACTTGTGAAATTAGATGCATTTTACTAATAATAACTGCAATGGTAGAAAAACTTTAACAATTCAGAAAAAAAATCAATTGTATGACAAAATGAGAGATTAGTGGATTAATGATTGTTTAGTTATATACTTTGAAAATGATGCATTTGATAGTAATAATATTGAGACAATTATCCAATAATTTCAAAATATGAAAATTCATCAAGGACCACTATAGATATTTATATATTTACATTATTTTTGTAAATATTTTATTATGAATATATCAAAGTTTTCAATTATTTTGATGATGAAAAATGCAGTGTTGCATGGGTCATCAGGGCCATATCCTACATCAGAATTTGAACATTCCTCAATACCAGCGACTGTTAAAAAGATCTTTAATCTAAAAGAGTTTTTGACAAAGAGAGATGCTTGGGCTGGCACTTTTGAATGTGTTCTCACTAGAAGCACCCCAAGAACTGATTGCCCAGGTAACATCTACAAAGCTTTTATTCTCTTTTTCGTTTGTTTGTTTACAATTCAAAACATTTTGAACTTGTCTATTGAATAGCCAGGGATTCCTCTGACCCTTCAATCTTTGTTCCCCTATTTCAATTAGACCTATCAACCGATTCGGATCCATTCCCGATATGAAGAAATTTGAATCCTATATGGTGAAGTCACATTAGGACTGACAGATGTCCTAATTGGGCTGGATTCATATTAGCAAATATGCGATCTAGATCCAGTCCATTGATAGGCTTAGTGATGTAGCAGAAATGTGCGATAGTAACACTCTTAGAATTTGTTGATTCAAATAAGAATACCGAAAGTAAAACAATTTTCTAAACTCATTGGTTGACGAAGAATACTAGGAATAAATGTTCAACAATGGTTTATTCTAAAAAAAATACCTTCAGTTGGAAGAAAGAGTATAAAACTTGAAATTTTATTAATTCTCAAAAATTGAAGAGTCCTTAGGCTTATATCAACTATTTATAAGCAAAGACAGACCTAAGCAAGTACGGAACAACCAGAATTGATAGTTTCTTAATGAGTAATACAGAAATAAGGAAACATAATAAAAATTATCAAGAATAGAATTATTTGGATAAAATAAAGAAACTACTAATACAATAATGGAAGATTTGACGGAATAGATTCTTAGATCCATGGTAGGAGTAGTTGGATTTTTAAAATTTTTCAAAAACGGCAAATACACGAAATTGACAACCTAAACGATGGAATTTGTCCAAAATCCACTGGTGATGGGAATTCCATGGATCATGCTTAAAATCATATTTTCCATCAACCAACAAATTTCACACAATTCTGAGTCCGGCTGGCTTTTTGCCTTTGTCTTGCCCATCTGTTTGGTCCAAGAGTTGTATGGTTATGCATGCTACGTCGCTTAGCCCTAATGCACTCACAATCTCAAAACCCAAAAGTCTCCATACATAGTTTTGCAACTAAGAGTGCATTAGAAATAAAGACAAAAATTCCGTGCCCTATTGAATACATGAACTCATCCAATCTTGAATGATGTGGCAGTGACTTTGCCGGAGCCAGTGAAGCTGCGAGAGGGAGGACCAAGAGAAGAGACGCAGCTGAGTGAATTTCAACAAGAGCTGGTACAATTGGCAGCAACACTGAATGGTGATCATAAAAAGGACATTTTTCCAAACAAGTTAGTAGAAAACATGACAGCTATAGAGGCTGTGAACTATGTTGAAGGTGCATTCAAGATGTTCTTGGATGAATGTGAGCATTCCAAGAACAGGGGTGCTGATGAATCTCATATTCCTCTCTTACCTAACTCACATCCAAGGACAACTTCCAAATCCTTTCTTCAAAAAATATTTTCTTGTTTAGTCTGTGATCATTGACACTTTCATTTATTTTATTTTTTAGAAATGTTTTGTACCTAAAAAACTATTCAAAAACTATCCAAAATTTAAATGTACTGTATGGTATGGGCTACAACTATGATGAATCTAATCTACACATTTCAAATTTTGAATACTTTTTAAATATTGTTCTTTAAATGTTGCATCATTGATTTTATTTTTTTTTATTTTTTCCTTCCAAAACTCCCATATTGTTAGGTCTATGAACTTTAATAAGTACTGTACACTGAGCCCTAAGTCCAACGGGGGAGTTTAGGGGGGCCTCTCCCAACCCGATTTTTTTCCCCAATACTTTGGTAATTTCCTATTACTTTTGCATTGCCTTAATTCTATATTTATAAATAAATGAAGGAGACGTCTCTTGTATGGTAGAGAGTTGTATCATTTTTTTATCATAGCGAAAATCACAACAGTCGTAGAAGTAGTCCTATTCTAAAGTGAACCACATAAATATTTGTATTCATGTGTGTGATTTCTTCGATTCATTTTATTTTTTTTATTTGTTATTTTGTGTCTCACTAATCTTGGTTAGGAAGAGACGATTTCCTAACACATAGATTGTGCTTGGATCATGTATATAAATAGTGATTTTTTTAAAAAAAAAGGAAGGAAAAATATAAGTAAAATGTGAATGAAATTTTACAAATATGTCTTTCATTGTTTTTTCCTTTACCTTTTCAAATCCCTACTTAAATTTATGATGCAAACACAATTATAATATGTCACTTGACACTATATTATATTACCAATAATGTTACATTTACCATCTTTATATACTACGTTAGTGTACGATGACACGTGGCACGTCAACAACTGTTGCATATTAATGAAGTTCATGTGAGATCCAATGTATTAATGATTGTGAATGTGTCATATGAAATAATACATTAAATATGGTATATAAATAGAAAGTGTAACATTAATCTTATATTAGTGGTTTGAAAGTTCTCTTGGTTTGCATTGTTTATAGCAATTGTATTGTAGACTGCTTATATGCATCTTGATCACTATTTCGATTAGGGTTAAAATCTCAAAACTTTATGAAAGTATATGTTCAAACTATTAAAATGTGTGCATATTAATTGACTTATTAAGCTCCAAAACTTTCACTTTCTCAATAATTTGAAATGATGTGTTCTCAATCTTCATTGGTTCTGAGTTTTAAGAACTTGATTATTCAACCCTTTTTGATTTACTCATATTTGATCAAGAGTTGCACTCTTTGTAAATACTTGCTATCTCTTTTTGGCACTCTTAGATGGTTGTTATGAAATCAATTATGGATCATCTTGCATCTAGTTCTGCTGTTGAGGTCGGAGAGAACAAGATATGGGCTTTGTTTTATTGAAAAATCAATGCTTCTCTATGACTGATACTTGTTTTATATGTGGGACTCATATAATTATTAGTTTAATAAATACATATAATTGAATTAGGATAGTAGAGTTCAGAATATATTAGGAGTTCATTGTGTATACTTTTAATAATTGTATGTGATAAGAAAATCTATTGAGTTCAGAATTTCTTGGCAAAGAGGTAAGCTACTTTAGAATTTCTTGTCCATTATGGTAGTGGACTATTATAAATAGCCATGGGACTATAGGTTTTGGTGAGATTGAGAGAGTTATTAAGGAAAAAATAGAGATGTAAGGGGTGAGACAAAAATGCCATAAATCATCGGGGTGAGTAAGGGCTTGAGTAGTGGTGTGGGTTACAAAAAGTTCCAAGTTTCAAGAATATGAATTCTCTCCAAGTTTCAAGAATATGAATTCTCTCCAAGTTTCAAACTTTCTTCTTTTTTTTTTTTTTGATCGGCAAAGAAGTTTCAAACTTTCTTCTTAGAAAAGCAATTTCGGAAAAATCTATCCTCAGTGCAATTTTTATACAAAATTTACTATCAGAATGACATTTGTTGAAAATTTAAGACATTTTGATGAATTTCTTAAAATGTTATCTCTAAATTATCTGCATTGACGTGGCATGTGATTGTATTTTAGTTGATTGATTCCTCAACAAAATCAACAATTGAAATAACACCGCTCATGTTATTTGGGATAAATTTAGAATAAATATTTTAGAGGTCTTAAGTATTTTTTGTAATAAAATCAATCTTTATCATGTCATCGTATATTAATTTTTTTATACAATTTTAACTGTTTGCATGGCAAAGCAACTTACTTATCCCTTATGACTTTTTTTATTTTTTGTGGCAAAATTAACTTATCTCCTTATGATTTGAACCCAAAGCACTTTACTCTTGTAATTCAAATACAATCAAAGAGGCTCTTGCGGTTGCAATTTGATTCAAAATCACGTGGAGCCTCTTTGTCTATATTTAAACTAGGGAACAAATTGAATTTCGCTCTTTTTATTATTTAATGTGTTTGGTTTCAATTTTTTGAATTTAATTTTCTGAAAATTAAGTTTTTTATTTTATTAATTTTTTGTTTTTAGTGAATATTTTTAAAATTTAAGTAATTTTTTATATTTTTTTAGATACATCTTACTTAGATATATCTAAAAAATAAATATTTTTAAAAATCAATAAATACACAAAAATATGAAAAATGTACTGAATTCTCGTTTTTTCGTTTTCTTTTTTTTTTTGTATTTTTGGTATTTAGTGAATTTTCTAAAGATTTTTTCACAAAATTATTCTTTTTAAATGTATTTATATTAGGTGTTTCTAAAAATTAAAATTAAAAAAATCGCTTAGAATATTAAAAAAAAAATCAATAAAAACAAAAAAAAAATACGGAAAATAAAAAATTTAATTTTTTGAAAAGTGAATCTTAAAAATTTGAACCAATGATTATTATTATTTAAAATAAGCATCTCCTCTACATGATAATACTTTATATGTATATAAAACCAAACCACCCTCTCTAGCCACTTTGTTGAAGGACCTCATATTCATAGTTCCCTCAGAAGAAGTACTAAAACAAGAAATGACTTTCTGAAACAATTTGTGGCCTTTGTCTTTCATAATAAATGGGTGGTTGAGCTCAAATATGTACACCTTACATTACAGGTGCAAAAACTTCTTAAAAAAAAAAATCAATAAAAACAAAAAAAAAATACAAAAAATAAAAAAATAAAAAAATTTAATTTTTTAAAAAGTGAATCCTAAAAATTTAAACCAAACACGCTGATTATTATTATTTAAAATAAGAATCTCCTCTACATGATAATACTTTATATGTATATATAACCAAACCACCCTCTCTAGCCACTTTGTTGAAGGACCTCATATTCATAGTTCCCTCAGAAGAAGTACTAAAACAAGAAATGACTTTCTGAAACAATTTGTGGCCTTTGTCTTTCATAATAAATGGGTGGTTGAGCTCAAATATGTACACCTTACATTACAGGTGCAAAAACTTCTTTCGTGTTTCATTGACACTGACCAAGTCCTTCATTTCTGGAATTAATATAGCATCCTGATGCAGGCATATGCATTTACATTTGAATGATTTTCATTTTTGGCATTTGAGCTATTTGGTATATTTTTAACAAGTTAAAAGTTAAAATTTTAAATGATTAAGTTTTTTATTTTTAATTTATTTAACTTGTAAGAATATATTGCATCAAATATTCTTAATACAGATACAGTGAGTATAAGAGAAATACATCGCATGATCAAGAATAATTTCTTCCACCTATAATTGTTAGTAGTTACCCCACTACAAGAAAATACACATTTGACGACTAAATTTTTAGTCGCCAAAAGTCCCTTTTTAGTCGCCAAATGTCAAATTTCCACTTTCCCCGACAAAATCTTTCAGTCGCCGGGTTTGTCGCGAAAAGACGGTCGCCAATACCTTTGGCGACTAAAAAACGTTTAGTCGACAATACACAGGTGTTCAACGACTAAGATTTTAGTCGCCAATAGTCAATTCCATTTTTGGAAATTATACCTTTGGCGACTAAAGTATTAGTCGCCAATAATGAATTAATTTTTTTATTATTTACATTTGGCGACTATTTTTTTCGTCGGCAATGCTCAATCTTTTGGCGAACCTGAGACCTCCAGGTAGGGGTGAGTATGGTCCGGATTGGACCGGATTGGAGTAAAACCAGAACCAATCTGTTATCTACGGATCCTGAAAAATTGGAACCAATCCAATCCGTTTAAATCATGGAACCAATCCGAAGCAATCCATTTAAATACGGATTGGATCGGTTTAAGACCACGGATTTATATAATTAAATAACAAATATATATATATATATATAACACTTTATTTTCATAAAAATATAAATATAGTACCATATTAGTTTCACAATAGCAATATGTCTTTTCATAATAGCGACAAACTGTTCTAAAATTTAAACAACCATAAAGAAACTAGTTCCACCATAAGTATTTAGACCATTACAAATTAACACTAAAAACTATCAAACAAAAGTAATAAAAGAAGATACTATGAAAGTTTAGGTTTGGATTTAAGTTTTATATGAAATAAGAGAAGATACTATGCAGGAAGGTGTATAATAAAAATATAGACTATTTGTATACGGTCCGGATCGGTTCCAATCCAGAACCGTGGGATTCAATCCAGAACCAATCCGTGAACTACGAATTTTTAATTTTTCAATCCAGAACCGAACCACGGATTCAAAAAACCAATCCAAACTTACTGGATTGGACTGGACTGGATCGGATTACGGATTTCACGGATTCCTTGCTCAGCCCTACCTCCAGGTGGTTCCAAACCTTAACCACACACTCGACCCCACTATGCCACTGAACCATCTCATGACTATAGTTGCAACTTATATTATTTATATATTACTTTCACCAGTATTAATACAAAACTATATATATAAATGTAATTATATATATTCAATATAATTTATGTAAAAAATAAATTATTTATTAAAAAAAATTAAATTTTAGATCACTTTTGGCGACTAAAAAAATTATTTAGTCGCCAATTGTATTATTTTTGGGCTACTAATTAATTTTCCGTCGCTAA